ATGTGTGTGTGTGTGTGTGTGTGTGTGTGTGTGTGTGTTTTAATACTGAAAAAAATTTAAGCTTTCTTTTAAACAAGATTATGTTGTATATTTCAGGCATATCTTATATAGATTAATTTTCTTTTTTTCTTGACATTTGTATTACGTTTAATCAAATTTGTATGACGTAAATTAAGTTTATTGTTTAGTTGTTTCTGTAATTCATATTAATTTATCAAACAATGCATAGATTAAATGAAATATTGTCCTTGATCAGAATAAAACTCTGTGGTCAGACTGCTGTGGTTGTTGTGGATAGCTCAGCTCATAACTAAAGACACAGCAGTCACTAATCAAAGTTTATGATGTAGTGTGTGACTGTTATGTGATAATGTGGCTTTAGTAGAGAGATTATGATGTTTTGGAGTAATGTCATGACTTGTATTTGAGATTATAAAATCATACTGATTTCAGTTTGACGCTTCTTTTTTTAATGTTGTGTTAGTGTGCGTTATCTTGACAAAAATATCGAGTGATGTTTAATTCGCACATTGTGATTAGACCAAACAACCATGATGAAACTGAATGTTCAGGGGTGCGTTTCCCGAAAGCAACTATGGTCACAAGTTCCGTCGTTGCTAATAGAATTCAATAGAACTAACGACCATAGTTAGCTTACGATGGTTTTGGGAAATGCACCCCTGACTTGGATCTGATTATTTTTTTGATTATTAAAACAATGGTTGTATGTGATTGAATGATGTGTAATATGATGTGTGTGTGTGGTTTGGTCCGGTGCTGGGGAATGTGGAGCTGGAGTCAGGCTAATCTGTGAGAGCAGAGAGACTGGCTCCTGTCTGCCTGTCTGCCAGGCCTCTATCTGTGCGTCTCAGTTCACACCCTCCCTCCCTATCTCTACTGCAGCACTGGGGCACAGCATGGGATTCAATTGGCCTCCACAGGCCACAGACTACCAGTGTGCACACACACACAAATCTCTGCTATATATGGGGAACGAGCATCCAACATGTATACTTATGATTTTTACAGCATCTGTAGCAACAGACATAATCTCACACACTCTGAGATACATACAAAAAAAAACAAATACACAATATGAACTTCACATATGCACACTAACATTGTGTGCTCTATCAAACACATGTGGATTGAAGTGCTGATCCTCATTAAAAAGCCCAATACACAAGCAGGCAGTAGAATGTGAATATAATCACACAAACAGAGACTACAGGATTATTGCCCTCCAGTTAATGTGTTGGAAATAACGCCTCCCATGGCTATTGGGAACCAGGGGGTTAACCCAAGTATATGCAGTGGTGTCCAAAATATTTTCTTTATTCATTTATATAGTTAAATGCTAAATTAATATTATTGTTTTATGAATTATTATTATTATTA